AGGGCGGCAGGCCGCCGTAGTCCGCCGCCTGCACGGGCGAGACGATGGGAGGCGGCGGAGGCGCCGCCGGGGCCGTCTCCAGCTTGAAGCCGTTGGCGCGGATCAGCGCCTTCTTCTGCTGCTTCAGCGCCCGGTCGCGCTTGTACATCGGGCCGAACTTGTTCCTCCCCCCGCGCATCCGGTCGGCGCGCACGGCTGCAAGGAGCGAGCACCGAGGAGGCGTCAGCAGCGGGGAGGGCGCCAGCGAACCACCCCCCCGGCCGCCACCGGCACACCTTTCGACCCCCCCTGCACGCCCCGTCGGGGGTTGGAGTGGAGAAGGCCCCCCTGCGCGGCTGGTGGCGCCGAAAGGAGAAATGCAGAAATGGGCGGGGGAGTAACGGGCAGCCCCAGAGGGAGAGGTCCCGGGAAAGGGCAGCGTCCCGTTGCGCTCCGCGGGCTTTCCCAGGTGTCGCCCGCGGTAGGTGCCCCTCGGAGGCTCCTCTGCCCCTCCTTCCTGCTTCCCGGCCTCTCCTCCCCCCTCCGCCCCGGTTTGTTCTCAAGGGCGCAGCTGCCTTGCAAAGGGGCCCCAGCAGACGGGCCGCCTCACCCAACAAGGGGATTCTGGAGCGCTTCCGGCTCCCCATCGCCACCAAGATCCATGAAGACAAGAGACACCGGAGGGGCGGGGAGAGAGCCGGGAAGCGATTCCAGCTGGGGGGGGAGCCAGACCGGGCACCGTCTATTTAAAGAGGAGTTTCCTCTCCCGAGTTCCTCCAGTGTAAGGAGGCAGGGAAGGAAGGGGGAAGCGGTGGCGGCCGGACGCAGAGTCTCGGCTAAAGTTTCGCCGCGCGCCCCCCGTCCTCCCCCGCGCAGGTGAAGGGCTCAAGGGACTCTCCCTCCTTCGCCTGGGCGCCCCGATCCAGGCGCTGCCTCCCTCCTCCCTCCCCATCGCTTCTTCTCCCGGGGAGGGGCAGCAGCTGACCACTCCAACCCACTTCCAGACTTCGGTTCACACGAGGCGCTTCCCTGCTCTCCTCCGAAACGTGGTTTTTCC